ACGTGATCTGACGCCACGTGACGTATACACCAATTCTCTTCCTCCCCTAAAGTTGCGGGAAATTTGATTTCACGTGCCTTGTCGTAACGAGACCGATACACCAATTTAGTTTTTTCGCTATATTTAGCGAAACCATTGACGTCACGTGATCTGACGCCACGTGACGTATACACCAATTCTCTTCCTCCCCTAAAGTTGCGGGAAATTTGATTTCACGTGCCTTGTAGTAACGAGACCGATACACCAATTTAGTTTTCTCGCTATATTTAGCGAAACCATTGACGTCACGTGATCTGACGCCACGTGACGTATACACCAATTCTCTTCCTCCCCTAAAGTTGCGGGAAATTTGATTTCACGTGCCTTGTAGTAACGAGACCGATACACCAATTTAGTTTTCTCGCTATATTTAGCGAAACCATTGACGTCACGTGATCTGACGCCACGTGACGTATACACCAATTCTCTTCCTCCCCTAAAGTTGCGGGAAATTTGATTTCACGTGCCTTGTAGTAACGAGACCGATACACCAATTTAGTTTTCTCGCTATATTTAGCGAAACCATTGACGTCACGTGATCTGACGCCACGTGACGTATACACCAATTCTCTTCCTCCCCTAAAGTTGCGGGAAATTTGATTTCACGTGCCTTGTCGTAACGAGACCGATACACCAATTTAGTTTTTTCGCTATAATTAGCGAAACCATTGACGTCACGTGATCTGACGCCACGTGACGTATACACCAATTCTCTTCCTCCACTAAATTTTGCGGGAAATTTGATTTCAAGTGCCTTGTCGTAACGAGACCGATACACCAATTTAGTTTTTTCGCTATAATTAGCGAAACCATTGACGTCACGTGATCTGACGCCACGTGACGTATACACCAATTCTCTTCCTCCACTAAAGTTTGCGGGAAATTTGATTTCACGTGCCTTGTAGTAACGAGACCGATACACCAATTTAGTTTTCCCGCTATATTTTGCGAAACCATTGACGTCACGTGATCTGACGCCACGTGACGTATACACCAATTCTCTTCCTCCACTAAATTTTGCGGGAAATTTGATTTCACGTGCCTTGTAGTAACGAGACCGATACACCAATTTAGTTTTCCCGCTATATTTTGCGAAACCATTGACGTCACGTGATCTGACGCCACGTGACGTATACACCAATTCTCTTCCTCCCCTAAAGTTGCGGGAAATTTGATTTCACGTGCCTTGTAGTAACGAGACCGATACACCAATTTAGTTTCTTCGCTATAATTAGCGAAACCATTGACGTCACGTGATCTGACGCCACGTGACGTATACACCAATTCTCTTCCTCCACTAAATTTTGCGGGAAATTTGATTTCACGTGCCTTGTCGTAACGAGACCGATACACCAATTTAGTTTTTTCGCTATAATTAGCGAAACCATTGACGTCACGTGATCTGACGCCACGTGACGTATACACCAATTCTCTTCCTCCACTAAAGTTTGCGGGAAATTTGATTTCACGTGCCTTGTAGTAACGAGACCGATACACCAATTTAGTTTTCCCGCTATATTTTGCGAAACCATTGACGTCACGTGATCTGACGCCACGTGACGTATACACAAATTCTCTTCCTCCACTAAATTTTGCGGGAAATTTGATTTCACGTGCCTTGTCGTAACGAGACCGATACACCAATTTAGTTTTTTCGCTATAATTAGCGAAGCCATTGACGTCACGTGATCTGACGCCACGTGACGTATACACCAATTCTCTTCCTCCCCTAAAGTTGCGGGAAATTTGATTTCACGTGCCTTGTAGTAACGAGACCGATACACCAATTTAGTTTTTTCGCTATAATTAGCGAAACCATTGACGTCACGTGATCTGACGCCACGTGACGTATACACCAATTCTCTTCCTCCACTAAATTTTGCGGGAAATTTGATTTCACGTGCCTTGTCGTAACGAGACCGATACACCAATTTAGTTTTTTCGCTATAATTAGCGAAACCATTGACGTCACGTGATCTGACGCCACGTGACGTATACACCAATTCTCTTCCTCCACTAAAGTTTGCGGGAAATTTGATTTCACGTGCCTTGTAGTAACGAGACCGATACACCAATTTAGTTTTCCCGCTATATTTTGCGAAACCATTGACGTCACGTGATCTGACGCCACGTGACGTATACACCAATTCTCTTCCTCCACTAAATTTTGCGGGAAATTTGATATCACGTGCCTTGTCGTAACGAGACCGATACACCAATTTAGTTTTTTCGCTATAATTAGCGAAGCCATTGACGTCACGTGATCTGACGCCACGTGACGTATACACCAATTCTCTTCCTCCCCTAAAGTTGCGGGAAATTTGATTTCACGTGCCTTGTAGTAACGAGACCGATACACCAATTTAGTTTTCTCGCTATATTTAGCGAAACCATTGACGTCACGTGATCTGTCTTTTCTCATGGCTGCGCTATCCCAGATAAAGCTGGACAACGCCTTTTTGACATAGCGCTACGTGTTGTTGTTGTTGTTGTTTTTTTTTTTTTAGTAACGTCACAAAACCGTTATCTGGCTGCCGTCAAGATAGCGCTCCCATGAGAAAAGACACGATTTTTGTGTTCCGTTCAAGTTTAGTGAGTACCGTGCATCAACAAAATTTCTCTACTAAATCTAGCAGGAAAATTAGCCTCACGTAGCCTACACACAATTTCAGTTTCTCTCCCAAACTTAGAAGGGAAATTGACACCACGTGACCCATGCACCCAGTTATTCCACTCAGTGTAGCCGTAGAAATTAATAAAAATAAACATGGCTCACTCCCCGAACGCGGATTTGATGTCTTCTAAATTATATTAAATGATCGCGCCTTAAATAGTGCAATTTGTGCTCTATAGAGCTTTAAAAAAAAAAGTCGCCGCCACTTTTTTTTTATCTTTTTGAATTTTTGAACCCAAAACCAGCAAGCTCCGAACATTTGCCATCTGGTTCGAACCGCTAGGGCTACATATAGATTGAAAAACGGCGATTTGTAGTTTTCTTATGAAAAAACAATTAAACGAAGTTTTCCTCCGCGGACACTTTGAGTGTGCACAAGATTCCTTAGTGTGTACATTTACACGTTATTAGTTCATCTAATAATAAAACAAGTGCCGTAATCACTTGACCAAAATGATACTAGAACTTATAAATGCATTTTGAAGGTAATCAAACATACAAAGTGTTTAAATTACAGACGAACTTGTACGCGTTACTGTCCCCACTACAGACATTTTTAGCAAGGGCGCCACAATCTTCAACCTTATGCGCCGACGACGGCGCCTAGGAACTTAGCACTTGCATTACTGATGGGTTGATGCTGTCGGTAAGCAACGTTGTGTGTACGGGGAGATCTTGTCTAAACTTGGCTGGGCACTTTGCGGGCCGCACCAATTTGTTCTATCACAGGTCATCACCTTAGCGAAAAGAAAGGAGGTGAGATTTGTTTTATTTTCTGTATCGGATTAACATATGAGCAGTTTAATGTAGCTTGAAAAGTATGCTCCTAAGCTCTGAGCATTTCGTACCTCGACTTTGAACTGCGGCACGAAACTTACTCAAGCCGCCTTCACATATCAAAAAATCATGGCATACTTTGAGGTGAAATCTCAATCGGAGCATCGGCACCGGGCCGGATTCGGTCAGCTTGACGCCGGCGTAGCGGTTTCACCATACCCGGGATTTTTAATCTGGCACGAAGCCCTCGCGATCGGCACCCGGAAAGCACTGACGTTGTAAACAGAGATCCGAGTGGAAGGTCTGTAACAGAAAAGAAAAATACTGAAGAAGTATATGCTGGAGCATAACATATTAATCGCATTAGTTTCGTGAATTAACCTTAATTAACCTAGTCAAACATCCGAAGATAACGCAGTGATACTCCAACGATCGCAAATTCGTTGACACATTTACATGGTAAAACAAATTATATGGAACTAACGCAAGCACGACGTAGAATTGGCGGTTGAACGCGATGCGTTTAATTAAGATGCTAGGGCGTGTCGTGCTATAAACTGTAGTATAACTTATCGAAATCTTATATACGACAAAGCCTGTTTTTGGCAAGAAATGGTATAGCGTAGTCGATAATTGCGACATATCTCAAAGTTGTTTCCCCCCGTGCAGCTTTTCACAATACACATATTCAGAAAGGGCGCCAAACTTTAAAAAGGCGAATGCTGAAAGATTCAGGAACTTTATCAAAGTATAGTGACAAGTAAAAAATTTATAGCACACTAATACAGGCCCCAAAACTTAAGTTATATGGTGTTGCTGATAGTTATCTCAAGAAAAATCCGGAAGACGCATGCGTCGATCTATTTCATAAACGAACGACAAAAGCGCTACTTCCTAGTTTTGCCGTAATCACTAATTATTGCTGTTTATTGACTTAATTTTTTACTGATAATTATGTAGCTTTCAAGGTATGCTTTTAGCCAATCAAAGTGTTTTTAATCTTTAGCTTTAACAGGCAAAACTGAGAACACTTCGAAAGAGACTTGGAATAGTGAAAGAACGATAGAGCATTTCTTTAAACGTATTTTATAGCTTAAACAAAAGAATATACAATATTAAAAAGAAATTGAAATAGCAATATTTGGTCTCACGAGCAGCAGGAGTGAACTTGAACTTTAGTGAGGTTTGTTGAAGCAGTAGTATATATTCTAGAGAATGACCGAGGTTCCCGCAATTTCATGCAGGCTTATTGCGGAAGAAGGCGCACTCTTGATCTGCAGCTGAGATTTCGGTAGCACACCGAAAATTGGCAGGCATTCTTATTATTCATCAGGCTTCCTGTGGGGTTTGCCAAATACCCTTAGCTAGCATAGAACGTATGACCTCTAAATTCGATTTTTTTTGTTTCGTTATTCTAAAAAACACACGAGTTGATGGTTCCAGATCGCACGCGGATCCTACTTCACCGGCTTTACCTCTAATGCATTTTCGTTCGTCTTTTCTTCTGCAGGAATACGTGTGGCTTTTAATTTCTCGCTCGAAAAAGGTTGCAGAGTAATTAAACTTGATATTTTGTGTTCCAAATGTAAGATACCAAAGTATGAGCCTGTAATGCTGAACGAAACATACCGCATTGTCACCACAAGTTACGTTGCGAACGGTGGAGACGGATTCACATTCGATAGCACCGTAAAAAAAGACACAGAAGGTAAGTAAACATCTCGTCTTATTTTTAGAGTTTCCGGCTAAACTCAAAATTAAGTAACTGAGAGGGCTGGGAAGAGTGCAGGTTGTTTCATTTCTCTTGCACCTTCTGAACACATACTTTTTTGATTGAGTGCACCCATCAATCATAAAAAATATGAATTTCCCTTGCACCTTGGTATGATCGAAACGATATCACAACCATATGAAATCGGTAATAGTTTTGTTTTATTCCGTCCACCGCTCAAACATCAAGCACCGAACTTTCTACGAGTATTGGCATAATTCATTTAGTCATCCATTCAACAGGAGTCCTTCCTCAGTAGGGAACAAAAACAAAAACACCAATGTCTCCTAAAAATTAAGAAATTAAAAAGATGTACCGTTTGCAAAACCAGTGTTTTCAAACTGAACTGGTAAAGTTATTATCAATATACGTTGAATTTAAAAAAGTCTACAATTGAAATTACAAAGGCATGTCAAGTCTTCGGTGTTTCGAATCGGTCATGAAGCGATTTTCTTATTTCTTGTGAAATGGATACTTCATTGTGAAAATCATTCTGATTTTCAATTGTTTACTGAATATATCTCTCAGGAAATTCCCACAGCGTTTCTTGCCAACCCCAACTTGTTCTACGCGGGGCAGGGTGTTTATTGTTGGGCTATTCCGATGTGCACTCGGGCCGGTTTGTACGCTACGTAAAGCCTTAGGGCGGCTCAATTCCTTCTTCTTGCCGCTGTTGGTTGAAGAAAAAGAGCGAATACAAGATTTAGCAAATAAACACCCTGGTTTGTTATTACTCTGTTCTTTTTTCGTTCTGGAATCCCAAAATGCGAAACAATGATGAGCCGCTTTCTCTATGCATAGGTACTCCTTCACGCGCTATATAATGGAATGCCGTAGTGCTTCGAAAGTACAATGGAAGGCGGTGGGCGATTCCGGAATGGTCTATAGAAAGTTTCCCAGTTTTAACTATTATTACGACGCCGCTAAGCTAGAATAAGATGCCAGAGGTATTTTATTAATAACGTTTGTGCATTTACAGGAGTTGTTGACAACGAGGTGGTAATTGAATACGTCCGCAAGATGTCCCCTATTAAGGAGCCCGAAGAGGGACGCGTTATTATGTACGACAACCCTAGACCTGCCAATTCCACGGCTGGTCTCCCGATTGACGCAAACAAGACGTCTCCTAAGCCTTCTACTGCTAAACCATAGAACATTATAGCAATATATTGAGTGAAGCGACAGAATATAGGGAAGTGTTATTTGCAGTACACTCACGTATACTGACTTGTTGTGAACTCGTGACAATTTCTTGGTATTTTCTGGAGTCAAATAGGGTATTAGAAAATGCGATATACGTTCTTGCTTGACTATTTATCAATAAATAAAAGTATATTAAGCACCGAATTAGTAAATATGTTGCAAAATAATCCTGAATAAAGAAATTGGTACTAAAAAAGTTTCAGCGACACTTTTCTTCTTTTTTTTTACCGATTGCTTTGTCCTGATGGTTACTTGTACGTTCCCTCTGTAGCAACGGCATTGTGACAGTGAACCATCCGCGTAGCGGTTCATGCATCTCAGAGTGAACACCGCAAGAGCACGCATGATTTACGAGTGACACGACACGAGAACAACAGAACGAGCACGTAGAGCTGCTGTCAGGAGCTACGGCTTGGCGCTCCTGGGACTGGCCCTAATTATTCACTAAATAAGCTATGTTTCAGGGTAACGACAGTTCGGCCGTATTCGTGATTAAAACCATGGTTGCCAGTTGTCTGAAGCTTTATCGGAAATTGCCGGAAACGCTTTTTTGTGTCTAGAAAGGTTAAAACAATCCGCGCAACACAATGTCGACTGAGCGTCCTCGGAGCGTATTTAAAGCTCACATATACCCGTTTTCAAGCTGTTGCTATCACCAGTGGGGAGCGGGCGACCGTAAAGAGGATGCGCTGCTCCGCATTGGAAGCATATCGGCATCAGCTCCTCTTCATTTTATTTATTTATATTGAAAAGCGAAACATAAAACGAAAAACTCATGACTAATTAGACTGTTCCAAATATTACGTAGCCAGACATAACACCCATAGAATTATCAGTCTATTATAGATCGGACGGCGGTTTGAAGTATTATCGTAATCGTGAATTATTGCCACTTGAGAGGGAAGGTGGTTTTAGTCATTAGAGGTGCGTGCGAGGAAAGAATAAGAAAGAAGATTAGTATTGCATGACGTAACACCTTCTTTATGATGGTGATCCAACCGCGACGATATATATTTTCACGGATTTCACATGTCAGGAGACGGGTGAAATAAAAAAATCAAAGGTTTAATGTGACGAACTTGTGCCAAACAAAGGATGAAATAAATGGGCGTCGCTTGGCGTCGATAGCGGCGTAGCAGCAGGATAGAGCGCAGGCGAAAAACTGACTCCAGATCACCACGCGAAGCCCCTTATGTACACGCCTGGGCTTCTGGAACATTCGGCGTAGAATGTTCGACACGTAGAACATTCCGACCCCGAAGAACCAATAGGGCTCTCGAATTTGCCAAAGCGCGACACTTACAGATATTAACAAAAAGCTGCGTCCGCTCCCAGGCATCGAACCTCGGTCCTTTGCGGGAGAGCCAAGAACAATATCCATTCGGCAACGGACGCGCTTCCTGGGAGACGCATGTTGCACTGCTCTCTCTCTTTAAAAAAACCAAATCGTCTCGTTGCAAAAAAAAAAAAAAAGAAAACACAGAGAAACAAGACACAAACAAGAATTACAACAACTGCATTTTCTAAACAATCAAACCGACGTTCTCATTGCTATCTTTCGTGGTACGGCTTGAGGCGAACGACACAAATTACCTTGGATTGCGGCAAGCGGCGTGATGAAGGATTCTGTTGGGCAGCACTTAGTAGTTCAAACGCCCAAGGCGATGGAGAAACTTTCAGGGTCTAAAGTAGCGTTTCAGAAGCTTCTCGGTGAGATTGCGGCGCCGTATTGGTGTCCAAATCCATCCTTGGTCTACGGGCTTAAAGTGTACGTCACGACGATCAAGGTTACACAGGAGTACGTCGACTCGCTATTGGTCTTGAATTCTGTTTCTTGCCTGTTAACGAGCCTCTTCCGCGCTTTGAGAGACCAGTTGACCGTCGTTGTCGCCGTCGTTGGTTGGCATGGGAGGTAGCCTGGCGTCGAACATCCTGGTAGCCCTTCGGCCGTGTATCAGTTTGAACAGCGTCATTCCCGTGGTTTCTTGAACCGCCGTGTTGTACGCAAGCGTAGCAAATGGCATTAGTTCATCTAGGGTTCAGTGCTCAACGTCTAGGTACATAGAAATTATGTCAGCGATTGTCTTGTCGAGTCTTTCGGTCAATCGATTTGCCTGTGGATAGTGTGCTGTCCATCCTACGGGGTGGTGCATGAAATAACCCAATCCCTATTCCCCCGTGTCGATATCCCCGCAGCAAATTCCCTGCGTTATCTCCCCCGACCTCATTTCCCCCGGGTTCCAAAAACTCCGTGCCCCCCTCCCCTTTTCATTTCCCCCCGTCCTCTGCCCCCGATTCCAGTTACCGGACGAAAGAAAAAGTGCATACCGAGGGTCAACAAGAACAAAGAAACCTCGAACTCGACCAGGTGAGTTCTATTTAAGGAACTGTCAACATTGGATGCTTCCCAGACTAGGTTGAGATGCAGGAGATGGAGGTCGAATTTTTAAAAACGGCAAAAGAGAAGGAGGCCTAATACTAGACGGATTTAAGTATTGCTTTCAGCGGAAGAACCAAGATGAGAAAACTGCCTGGATATGTGCTAAATACTGGACAAATAACTGCAAAGCAGCAGTTCTCACGGAGCACGGAAAAGCCGTCAAGACAACACAAGGTGAGCTAATGACTTTCTTTTTTTACTTTCGCAAACTCTCGGATTGCTGTTCAGCTTGAAGGGCACTGAATGAATGATACTAAAATCTGCTGCGGCGTTTCATTATCATCACGTCGATGTGTTTCAGAGCACAACCATCCACCTGATAGCAGCCAACTTCGGGAAGCGCGACTGAAGAATGCATTGAAGCAAAGGATTAGTTCGGAGCCGCCTTTGCCAGCACCGCAAGTGTACAGCAGAGAGATCTTGAGCCTTGTGGGTCAAGTAGGCAAAAAAATTGTCTCGTCTTTACATACTATGTTTTATTACACTCATATGCGTGTTCATGGTGCCCGCGATTGAATCTTGTTTGTGACTTGACCAATTTGTTCTAGGTTGACGACACGGTGATGGCTGAGCTGCCGACTTTTGAGAGCGTGAGGAGCACCATGGACAGGGAGAAGAGAAAGCAGCAACCGAGCCTACCAAGGGACATGACCGAGATTAACCTTGGAAGACTGCATACGGAGACACTCGACAAGCGAGACTTCCTGCTGTTCGACGTCAGCATAAGTGCAGGCCGTGTTCTTTGCTTTTGCACGCAGGAGCTGCTTTTTTATTTTTCGGAAATGGTTGAAGCGTTCATCGATGGCACGTTTTTCTCCTGCCCTTCATTGTTTTATCAACTGGTCACAATAAGCGCCGTCAAAGAGGGTTTGAGCTTCCACATCGCCTACTTTCTTCTACCTGGGAAGTCTCGAGAAGTATATGTGTCGGCCTTCACGAACTTCAAGACGGCGTTGGACGCTCTTCGTGCACCTCTGTCACTCAGCGTTGTCCGTACGGACTTTGAACTGGCCCTTATCCAGGCTTTTCTTTTCGTTTTTCCTGGAATCCGGCACCAGGGTTGCCATTTTCACTTCGCTCAAGCAATCTGGAGGAAAGTTCAAGAACTCGGACTTGCCAAGGCTTACCAGGAAGATTCTTCGGTAACGATGTTTGTACGCCAGACAATTGGTTTAACCTTTGTCCCGCCAGCGTTCGTACGTATTGCTTAGCGGGGTTTGAAGGCAACTGCACCACCAGCCCTTGGAGTCCCACAACTTATCCTGTACTTCGAGGATACTTGGCTCTTAGGAAACTACGACACCCAGCAGTGGAACCACCACCAAAACAGCGGAGCTCGGACAAACAACCTAAAGGACGCCTGGCACCGGTCAGTTCATTTTTCAGTATGGTATAAATTTGCTATCAAAAAATCGGAATGCTTATTTACCAGGAGTTGTAATCCTTGTGCTTTTTTATTTACAGAAAAATTAACAACACCATCGGGAAAGCGCACCCCAATGTCTACACTTTCGTGGAGCACATCAAGCGGGACGAGGCCACTAGCAGAGTCACCCTCCTCCAGGTATCCAACGGCGGCCAAGCCCGAAAGCGACAAAAGAAGTGGGAGATGAAGGACGAAGCCATCAGGAAGCTCGAGCAGCGTCTGTCCAATGAAGAGCTCAACATTCAAGAGTTCCTGAGGCTGGTGCAGCGATATTGCGGTATCTAAGTAGTGGACATTGCTTCAACAAAACTGTATACATTAACATGTTAATAAATCTTTCATAATTTGCAATATTGTCAAGCACTGAACTGACACAGGATCACGGAATAACAGTGTGCGTTGGTTTCAAAGAACATCGGAAATGATCAACGGGCGTCCGTATCGTTTCGTCGACACTCGTTTCATCGACACCATGTTTCGTAAAAAAACTAGCTTCGTCGCACGTGCATCACAAGAACCCATGTTAATCCAGGCGGACCACCCGTCCACGACGCTTCGCGGCGACAGGAAGCTAATCCGAGCTGTCGGTGTAACAAACTTTTGATGAAACGATATGTCGATGAAACGTCGCTCGATCAACTGATTGCCCCTGGATAGAGAGGCACACAAAAGTTACAAAATGGGGAAATTGGATACGGGGGCGCTGGCGCTCGGGGGAGGCAAGACGGGGAATTTGACAGCGGAGATTTTGACACTCGGGGGAAATGGCACGGGGCATTTGGGACGGGGGAACTGCCACCGGGGGAATCGTGCTACAACCGCCCTACGATGGCCGGTCTCGCTTAAACAAAGGATATTTTAGTTTGCTGAGTCAGAAAGGCGGAATCACGGTCGGACGTATCAAGACTTCTAGAGTGCCGTGCCGGAGAGCAATATATTTCATGAAGAAGTTGGCAAATTTAACAGCATTCCCGAAAGGTGGGGTCTTCGTCTCGGCGTATCGTATCAGATAGTCTGTCCACCACGATAATCCACCAGTTTCTCAATGTCGAAGTAGGGAAGGAACCAAGTTCATCTATACAAAACTGCTGGAACGGAGACACCGGCGATGCTATTGGCTGGAGGAGTCCCGCGGGATGTATGGGCGGTGTCTTTCGACGTTGGCACTCTCGGCAGGTTTGGGCGTAATGGCGGAAAAACTTCGGGAGCCTCGGCCTGTAGTACTTCTCGCGAATGCGTGCGAGCGTCCGACTGTCGCCGAGGTGTCCAGCAGTGGGATCGTCGTGGCAGGCCTCGAAGATTTCTTCACATAAATCCTCCGGCACAAACAGGAGCCACGCACACTGGCCAGCCACAAGGGTCTCCTTGCGGAGAGCCCAGTGACGAAGGCTGAAAGAATGTAGAGGGCGTACGGAAATCGGGGAACCGCGCCTCCTTGGCCTTTTAACTGGGCAATCAGCTCCCGAAGTTTCGAGTCGCATAGCTGCCGCGCTGCCATATCCTTCGCGTCCGTTGCCACGAAACAAAGTGTAATCTTAATAATATGTGTCCGTCCGGCCCGACACCACAGGAGCCTGTGACAGGCAGTCAGCGTCGTTGTGCTTGCGGTCTGACTTGTAGGTGGTCGTGATGACGAACTCTTGGAGCCGCAGGCTCCACCGCGCAAGTCGGCTCGTGGGGTCTTGAAGTTGGCAAGCCAACAAAGTGAGTGGCGGCGGTGACAACTCGGAACGGGCATCCATACAGGTGAAGTTTGAACTTAGTGATTGCCCAGACAACCCCAAGGCATTCCTCCTCTGTTGTCAAGTAGTTTCTTTCTGCTTTAGAGAGGGCCCGACTTGCATACGCGATAACTCTCCCGTCGCCATCCTGTACAAGTGCAAGTAGGGGCCTGTATGAAGTTCTGTGTGTCTGTGTGAATTTCTGTGTGAATCTCTGCGTCTGTGTGAATTTCTGTTTCGATATCCTTTTCGAAGTGGCCCGGTACCGGAGTTGACTGCAGACGTGGTTTTAGTTGGTTGAACGCACGCCGTTGTTCATAGTTCCACTCGAAGGCGACGGCATCTTTGGTGAGGTGAGTGAGCGCCGCTGCGAACCGAGAAAAGTGCTGGACAAATCGCCCGTAGTAGGCACACAGACAAAGAAACCTTCTGAAGGCCTTTTCTCTGGAGGGTATTGGAAAGTAAATGCAAAGTAAATGCAGAACGCTTCTGTTTGGTGGTTCTATTACATTTTCATTGTGAAGTTTTCTTTTCTTTTTCTAGTTTCTGAACTTATTTTGTTCGTGATCTCTATTTGTATAAATTTACACCATTTCTTTTGTCAAAGTTCTATACTAGTGACATACCTGAATGTACATTTTTTTGTTGTGTGTTCAGCATGCATTACTTTGCTGATGACCAACATTAATGACGTTATTAATGTGATGCGTGACGCTAGTGGTTTTACTATTTCAGCTGATTGCCCGTGTATAATCTAATCTTCACTCTGCTTTGTTGCCTTGTTGTTTTGTTGTCATTGATGGTGCGCTTTGCTTGGCTTGTGCGATCCTGTGATTGCGGCTTCCAGAGTGTGTATATTGCCACCCGCAGGGTCGATAAAGAAACGTTTGGTCACGGACTTCTTGAGGATTCGCGTTCATTCTCGCACCAGACGTAACTTTCCTCCTGCTTTCTTGTTCTCGAAAGTGCCAGTTCATCCTCGCCCCGAGCGCGCGACGCTCGAACTTTCTTTGCCGAACTTTCGAGATAGTGACGCAGGATGGATAAGCAGCTGCCCGCGACCTTGTCCAGTCAGTCTCGCTAGTGCTCTGTAGCGCCGCCGAAACGCCGCCCGCTTTTCTGCTGCCTCGATGCTATTTCGTTACTTATTTTGTTGGCACAAGTTCGCCCATTAAACCTTTATTTTCATTTCAATTTTCACCTTCTCGTCGCCTTAATTCGTGACAATATTTGTTCTGCTTTGTTGCCTTGTTGTCGTAGTTGACACTCTTATCTTATCTGCCACGGCTGAACTGTTGAGGGGCAGAGGCTCCGTTAGGCACTGCACTCCGTTTCAACCTACGATGGACCGCAGAGGACGCTGCGAACCGTTCCGGCCAATCCATTTCCGCGTCAGCGTCTCGTGACTTTCAAGATGGGCGCAGCATTGCACGGGGTGCATAGTCACGTGATGCATTCAAAGCGCTAGATTGACCGAGATGGTTCATAGCGTTCTTTGGGGGTCCATCGTAAGGTGAAACACAGTATAGTGTCTCTATCTCTGCCCCTCATGAGGAAAAATATCCGCAAGGCAAATGAAGAAAAAGAAAAAAAAAAAGCTACAGCGGTTGTTTTCTCGGGGTTGGGGCGAACGCCTTCGCTGCTTATGACGTGACCGAGAAACATCGTTCACCATAGACAATGGTGAACTGATGTCCTCACTTTGTCGTCTATCAAGTGTGGCGGGCGCTCCTGGTGGCCTGGAGTACACATCCTTTAGGCGCTGTAGATGCTCATCGAAGGTGCTAGAGAAAACGACAACGTCGTCGAGGTAGACCACGCATATCTGTCATTTTAGTCCCGCCAGCACGGTGTCCATGACGCTCTGGAACTTCGCTGGCGCCGTGCAAAGTCCGAACAGTATCACGTTAAAATGATAGCTAGAGTCCATCCCGAGTGATGAAAGCCATATTGTCTATGTCGCGCTCGTCTACCTCTATTTCACAGTAACCGCTCTTGGGGTCTCCAGACGAAAAATAACGAGTGCAGGGGGGTCTATCAAGCGTGTTTTGGATACGAGGGAGTGTCGAGACGTCTTTTTCGTAATCTTGTTTAGTCGCCTGTAGTCTACGCAATAGCGCAGGGTCCCGTCGTTCTTCTTGACCAGCATTACCGGGGCGGCCCTTGGCCTGTTTGAAGACTGGATGACGTCATGGTTGAGAATTCTTTTTATACCAGCTCCTGGATGGCTTCTCTCTCTCTCTTCAAAGAAAACCTGGTATGGCGGTTGAGGAACAGGGTGCACATCAACATCGGCGATAATCCGGTGCTTTGCGATTCTCGTCTGGAAAACTCCGGATGGCGCGGCGGAGCAGTCGTGGAATTCGTCAAGTAGCTCGATGAGTTCTTGTCACTGCTGCGCTCTAAAAAAAAAAGCTCCTGCGACTACTTTTCCGCACAACACTCGGAGAGCCAATCACTGCAAATTACGGAGGCAGCTAAGTTAGGACAATGCCGAAACATATGTTTAGACAAAAAAAACGCAGTCTAAGTTGTGACATTAAGCAATGCAGGCCTGACGGTTTGCATTGCTTAATGTCAGAACTCAGATTGCGTTTTTCGGTGTAAACATGTTTCGGCATCGTCATTCGATGAGCTGGCTACGTAAGTTGTGGTGATTGGCTCTCCAAGTTTTGTGCGAAAAAGTAAACGCCGGCTTTTTTTTTTTTTTTTTTTTTTTTTTTAGGTGGGGGATGACAGCTTCGGTTTGACGTCGAGCTCTCATGACACGCAGACGTTTCCTGGTCGCGTACGCGAGATGCTTCTGCTACCGCAAGTTCATCGGTTAGGTCGCAGAAGCTTTTGACGAGGGATATATTTGTTTTCTTGGTTAGTTGCTGTGGCTCGTTCCGGAAGTTCTTAACGAGAACCATTGTGCGGCCGTCTCGGAGCTTCGTGACACTCCTGGCAATGCCGATACCATTACCTACGAGCAAGGACATGCTGCCTTCTAGTTGCGCTTCTCCGCAAGTGGCCTCGTTGGTCCTGGCGAGTACAAGGACACTTGACCGAGGTGGCAACCTCACAAAATGATCGGAAATTACTCGGACCGCGGATGGCAATGGTCTTCGATCTTTTGGATGTTTAACGGGTTTTCGGAATGTTAGCCTACTTTCACCTAGGTCGATGATGGCACTGTATTCAAACAAAAAGTCCATTTCGAGAATGATGTCCCTCGAGCAGTCCTGCAGCAGATGAACTATGCTGGACAGGCTTCACCGTGTACCTCAACGCGTGCAGTGCACATTCCGGTTGGCGTTATCAGGTGACTTCCGGCGGTTATTATTGCCAGGCCGTCCCAACGAGTCATCACTCTCCGAAATCGACGAGAGAGCTTCCCACTCAAAACGGAATAATCAGCATCGATGTGAATGAGCGCCGTCGTGTCGTGGCCGTCGATTAAAACGTTGAGGCTGTTTGACACCTTTACGGATGCGCCGTTTTGTTGCGTGTCGTCGTTAGAGTAGGAGCTCTCCGGCGTTCTTGAAGGCTCTTTGCTTCGTCCGTCTTCGGCAACGCCACTTCCAGGCGTTGCTGCATACAGTTTTTGATGACGAGACAGGGAGGGCAGGCTGTCTCGGCGTTAGTGGCGAAGGGGTGAAGCAGGACGTCGCGGTGCTGGAGAGCGTGATCCTTGAGGCAAAGACGGCCCCGGGGATGGTTAACGTCGCAGATACTCTTCAATTTCACGTGGACGCCCGCTGTACCTTGGACGCCGGTCGTTCGGCCTGAATCCACGAATTTCAAGTTGGCGGTAGGAGCAGTGCCGGTAGATGTGGTGTGCCTCTCCGCAACGATAGCAAAAGGGGCGACGGTCTGCCGTGCTCCAAACACTGCACTCTTAGAAAAAAGGGTCAGTATAGTCCTCCCTAAAGGGAGGAACGCTCTTGACACATATGTTCCTTCAGAAAGGGAGAAACTTTCGTCCCTTAAGCAGGGGAGGAAAAGTTCCTCCGTCGACTGCATCTCATTATGGCGGCCACGAATCGAGCAAATCGAGCTCGGTAAGGCTTAACGAGAACACTAAGTCTATTGACCGAAGCGAGAGGAGCAGGAAATAAAAACGTAACACGAGCTTTCCGCGAACTGTATTTATTTCCGAAGTTTCTTTACCCCTGCAGGTAAAGAAACTTACGTTTCGAAAGCATGCAGTCACTCAGTCTTCTCATCGTCAGCACTGCGATGTTCAACGGAGACAACCGGCACTCAGTTCGCGCACTTTATGTCCTACCTTTGCTATT